GACCTAAAACCTCCTAAATTTCTTAAAAAGCGTGTATTATTGGACTTCAATTTTGGAATTTTTTGACATTTTTCAGGCGGAAATAAAAATTCCAGAAATGTTTACCCTCCGGAAGTCCAATTGGGTTGGTGGGACCATCCAATTTGCCTTTAAACGGCCAATATAATTACCGATTTACAACTTGCAACAATTTTATGAACTCAAGCCTACCACGAATATTAATAACAACAAATAATGATCATATATGGTTCCAATAGGCATTATATGACCCCGAGATATATCCCCTAGAATTTCAGGACTTTTCGACACAGGTTTTAAAACCTTAAAAATTTCTCAAAAAGTGTGAATATTAGTCTTCAATTTTGGAATTTTTCTAACTTTTTTAGCCCCAAAGAAAAAATGTCGAAATGTTTACCATGGTCCCTAATACCCTCCGGGAGTCCTATTGGTTGAGTGGAACCATCCAATTTGGCTTTAAACACCAATTTACCGTTTTACAACTTGCACTGATTTCATTAACTTAAGCCTCCCTCGAACATTTATGACAACAAATAATGATCATAAATGGTAACAAACGACCTTATATGACCCCTAGATGTATCCCCTAAAATCTCAAGCCTTTTCGACACCGGGCCCTAAAACCTCCAAAATTTCTCAAAAAACGTGGATATTAGTTTTCATTTTTTAATTTTTTGACTATTTTTTACCCTTAAAGAAAAATTGCCTAAATGTTTACCATGGTCCCTACTACGCTCCGGGAGTCGAATTGGGTTGGCGGAACCGTCCAATTCGCCTTAAAACGACTAATTTACCGGTTTAAAACTTACATCAATTTCATTAACTCAAGCCTACCACGAACATTAATAACAACAAATAATGATCATATATGGTTCCAATAGGCATTATATGACCCCGAGATATATCCCTTAGAATTTCAGGACTTTTCGACACCGGACTTTGAAACCTCTAAAATTTCTCAAAAAGTGTGGATATTAGCCTTCAATTTTGGAATTTTTCTACTTTTTATGGCCGGAAAATAAAAATTGACGAAATGTTTACCATTGTCCCTAATACCCTTCGGAGTCCTAATGGTTGGGTGGAACCATCCAATTTGCTTTTAAACAGATAATTTACCGTTTTACAACTTGCACCGATTTCACAAACTTCAGTCTACCACGAACATTTAAGACAACAAATAATGATCATAAATGGTTCCAAACGATATTATATGACACCGAGATGTATCCCTTCAAATTTCATGATTTTAAACAGATAATTTACCGTTTTACAACTTGCACCGATTTCACAAACTTCAGTCTACCACGAACATTTAAGACAACAAATAATGATCATAAATGGTTCCAAACGATATTATATGACACCGAGATGTATCCCTTCAAATTTATGATTTTTCGACACCAGGCCCTAAAACCTTCTAAATTTCTTAAAAAGCGTGTATATTAGACTTCTATTTTGGAATTTTTTGACATTTTTAACGCGGAAATAAAAATTGCAGAAATGTTTATCACGGTCCCTAATACCCTCCGGGAGTCCAATTGGGTTAGTGGGACCATCTAATTTGCCTTTAAACGGCCAATATAATTACCGATTTACAACTTGCACAATTTTATTAACTCAAGCCTACCACAAATATTAATAACAACAAATAATGATCATATATGGTTCCAATAGGCATTATATGACCCCGAGAGATATCCCCTAGAATTTCAGGACTTTTCGACACCGGGCTTTAAAACCTCAAAATTTTCTCAAAAAGTGTGGATATTAGTCTTCAATTTTGGAATTTTTCTATTTTTTTTATCCCGAAAGAAAAAATGTCGAAATGTTTACTATGGTCCCTTATACCCTCCGGGAGTCCTATTGGTTGGGTGGAACCATCCAATTTGCCTTTAAACAGCCAATTTACCGTTTTACGACTTGCACCGATTTCATTAAGTTAAGCCTACCACGAACATTTATGACAACAAATAATGATCATAAATGGTTCCAAACAACATTATATGGCCCCAAGATGTATCCACTAAAATCTCAAGCCTTTTCGACACCGGGCCGCGAAACCTCCAAAATTTCTCAAAAAGCGTGGATATTTCAATTTTGGATTTTTTTACTTTTTTCGCCCGGAATTTAAAAACGCCGAAATGTTTGCCATGGTCCCTTATATCCTCCGGGAGTTCAATTGGGTGTGTGGAACCATTCAATTTGCTTTTAAACGGCCAATTAACAGTTTACAACTTGCACCGATTTACCGGTTTACAACTAGCACAGATTTACCAGTTTACAACGGCCAATTTAATTAACTTGCACTGAACCGGACTTGAACCGAAATTAATCCAAACCCGTTTTAACCTTTCAAAACCCGAATTTAACCGGACTTGTTACTAACCTAACCTGAATTCAACCCGACCCGTTCCTAACCTGACCCGAATTAAACCCAACCTGTTATAAAACCGACCCGAAATCAACCTGACTTGTTATTGACCTGACCCAAATTCAACCCAATCTGTTTCTAACCCGACTCGAAATTAACACTTGTTATTGACCCAACCTAAATTCAACCCAAGTTGTTCCTCACCTGATGTCAAATCACCCTACATGTAATTTAGACCACCTTATTATTGTTGATCAAAGCATTTTGTCTAGGGAAACCAAGTTGTCCAGGCAGCAAAAGAAAGGAGCATCATCCTCAAATTTAAGAGTTAAATATATTATATATTTGTTGTATGGTCAAAGGTGATAATTATCTTCCTAAATTGTAAACTATAGTTCCCTAGTATATTGCCATATATATTATAGTCAAAGAAAATAATTAGCTTGATAAAAATGATAATTATTTATTTATAGTCAGTTGAACCCGAATATGATTTGACTTGGAAATGACCCGACCTAATTGTAACCTGCAAATTATTGACTTGAACATAACCCGACTTGAATCAAAGAATGACCCAACTTGGAAATAACCCAACCTGATTATAACCCGCAAATTATTGACTTGAACCGAACCCGACTTGAACCCGAGAATGGACCCGACTTGAAAATGACCTGACCTGATTATAATCCGCAAATTTATGACTTGAACCAAACCCGACTCAAACCCGAGAATGACCTGACCTGATTCTAACCTGCAAATTATTGACTTGAACCGAACCCGACTCGAACCCGAGAATTACCTTAACCCGTTTTAATCCGTGAAAACCCGAATTAAACCCGACCCATTGTTCACCCGACACGAATGTAACCCGACCTAAACCCAACCCAAATCCGATAAGAAGTATGACCCGACGTGACACGACTCAAGCATGACCCGCATAAGTTATGGAATTAATATGAATTGACCCGACTGAGTTGACCCGACCCACTCAAACCCGACCCGTTTACCCGAATTGACAGCACTACTACTGTCGTACCCGTTTTTCGAAATTTTGATTTTGCCGTACCCCGTCTCCAGACCAGTGCCGTTTTTGTCCCCGTATCCATTTTTGTACAACATAGGTTCTACATTGGAGGTAAGAAACATAGAGCAAAAAGAAATTTCCATGAGATGAATTCAAAATTTCCTTCTATAATGTTCATAATTTCATATAACATGAAAAGGACAACATATGCTTACAAATCTCTCAAGGTCACAAGCACAGTATAAAGTCAAATCATCCAAGAGAATATGCTAGCAGGACTCCTAAATTGAATCATAATATGAATGTTCATGGGAGTTAAATGACCAAATCATGAACTTTGGTTGGCCTTGGTCTACGTACTTAGTTAAGACAAAGAACTAAGATTCGAATCAAGAAATGATAGTATCCTAAAAGGAGTATTCTGGAGAACAACACATACAAGGTCTTTATAAACATTACTCCATACAGCAGACTTACTATGCAAATATATACTAAACATATATGCTAGCCAACATCTTAGCATAGACTTTGTATGACACTCTAAACTGAATTCTGTTCAACCTTAGGCACAGAGCACCCAATAAAATAGGCATGACATCCACCAAGTTTGACAAAGAAAAGAGGAAGAGCTTATCCAACGACAGTGTTGTAAAAATGACTCCAGACATCCTACCACTGGCAGAGCCAACATGGAACAAGGAGGGACAGTTGTCCCCCCAATTTTATTTTTATTTTTTTTTTCAAAAAAAAAAAATCATTCAAATAGATTATTTTGTGCATAATGATTTATACCAAATGAAATGGATCAGAGGTCAAAGTAGCATTTGTAGAGCCTCGTGAATGCGGGATCAAATCCCACGGTATTTCATTTCATCTCTTATTTTTTAATAAGTACAGAATGATTAAATATAATTTACAATCCACGGGACTATTACAACAATCATTCAACTGACATGAGCTTATATACAACAGATTAGAGTTCAATCCTTGATACTGCAATTTTACTTTCTTTATTTGTACCATGAACATTACGTCATTACCCCAAACTAAGGTTGTAAACTTGTAATAGGGCAATATGAAGCTATATAATTTAATGTTTGACTTTTTCAATCATTCTTAATGTTTGGATTTTTCAAAAATTCTGAACCCGTAATCAAATACTTTTATGGAGGAAGAATTGGTATATAATGTAGGTTTTTTGACTAAGTACTCCATATTTTGGTTTTTTTTGAGTTGTAGAGCTTCAACTATTTATTTAAGTATCTATTTGTTCCAACAATTTTATCATACTAAACGATGTCTATTTGTTCCCCCGTTTTGAAATTTTCTGGCTCCGCCACATAATATGACTGCAGCAAGACAGTGTCAAGACACGGATGGTCAAAAGTGCTATTTAGTTTTCACAGTGCATTCCTGAACTATAAACTGAAAAGTAAGCTCGACATATACTAATATCAGGCTTGTTTTGTAGTCACAACTCAAAAGCTCAAATTAACATTCTAAATGGCTATTGAGGAATTCATATGAGAAATAACAGTACGCACAAGTTAAGAAGAAACATTATGCAAGTCTAGCTAAAGTACCTACCTGTCTGTGTCCTCGTGAACCCAGATGTGGAGTTGCAACAGTGATAAAATTCATGGGTTCCAGTCCAGCAATTCTACCTTGGCAGTCTTCTCCAACCTTTTCAACGCTACAACTTAAAGTCTCATCTTCAAAGTAGTTTCCCTTTGCAACCAAAATGTTCGATGTTTCCTGAGGTTCATACAGCTTTCCAATAGCATGCCTTGCAACAAGACCCCCTAAAGAATGTGAAATAAATGAAATCTTCTGCAACCCAGGCCTGCGGCTGATAACAGTGGATACCTGCAGTTGTGCAAAGTATGAAAATATCATCACTGAAGTCTTGTAAGGAGCGGAAAGCATAGGCTATTCACAAGGAAGACAAGGCAAACAATTACAGGTAACTTAGGCTATGAGGATGAAATAGCTATTACCCAAATACCTCATCAGCAAGACGTTCACCCATCAAATCAACACCATCAAATGTCAATGTAGCGGTGTTGCATTGACTACCTGCAGCAAAGACGAATGTGAACTTTGGCAAATCATTTAAATATAAAGAGTAAAATAGCTTCCTATCGAAAAAAAAAAATAATAACTCTTTAATATGAATGGATGAAAGGCTGGTAAGTGGTAACAATTCATGTCTAAAAAAAGAAAAGCTTATAATAATTTCTGGATAGATCAGTAATATGACTAGAGTAGGACACCTCCCTGTAAAGTAAAGTTACTTAAGTATGAAGCAGGAGGGGCGAAATAGAACTCACAATGCACCATTACTTTGTCAGGGAGCTGCTTCACAAATTGATCAGCAGCAAATTTCCAGTCAGTGGCACTACATTATAAGTGTTCACAAGTCAAGTAAGTATGTGTAGCAAGTGTATAATTATACATAGGGACACCAAAAAAATAAATATTATTAAGTACTATAGATTTCAGAATGGAGAAATTTTAAACAAAAAAACAAGCTGCCAAAGCATGTGACCAATATGCATGGTGAAACATTTCTTACAAGTTTTAGCAGTACAAAACTGTAACAATGGAACTGAAGCACCTTATACAGATAGAGAATAGTGAGTTATAGGATTATAGAGGCATATAGAAGGGTAGAAAAACAAGATATTAACAACTACTATCTTTTGGCTAATTCAGCACTAAGCGATAATGGGTGACAAGGCATGATGGAAGGTTCAATCTTCTCAGTTAATATCTTTTCTTTTTTTTCATTTTGTGGGACAAGGAATAACAAATTCATACATATTATCACTTAGTCAGTGGTTCAAGTACACATTAAACCACTGATGCCGATAAACACACGCAAATGATTTTGTATCAGTAATTTTACAAAAAGAAGCTATTTCATAAAAGAGTGAAATAACCTTTCTAGCGAAGGCTGCAAAGCACATATAATATGTAAGAAAATAAAACATGAACACAGCCCAATCGCTGACATCAGTTGAAAAAAATTGTCTGCTCATACATACTCCATATAACATAACACCAAACAAAAATATCTCATCCTATGTGTCAACTAACAGACCTAGAAGCTATTTCTTTAGTTCCCATAATTTCCTCATACATGTCATTTTGTCACCTACCAAATAATGGCCAGCCAGATTACTTACAAAATTGCTTACTAAACTAGTTAAAGTTGCACTTATTATCCCCTGCTTCAAATGACTGAACTGGACTCATTTCTTTTCATTTGTTTAGCCCTAATCCAATAAAAGGAGCCTTCTATTTCATCCTTCACAAGGTCTTTAAGAAAACGTATATCTAAATCACTCTCATCTTCACATTAACTCAATTTTTAAGGAAATGGCCATAAAGGCATACCCCATTCACCAATACTATCTTTACTACCCCCCTTCACATCACTCTCCCTCTTCCTATTTCTTTTGATAACTTCAAATTGATGGTCCATCACCACAAGATTCATAGTTTCAACAATGTAACACTACAAAAAGTTGTCTTATCATCCAACATATGATTCTCTTGACTAAAAGCATCAAAATCCTTTATCAAACAAATTTTAATAAGCACATTAAGGTAATTTGTCTCATAAGATTTCCACTAAAGGATTGATATGCTTCCTAAAACCCTTTTATCATCAAAATTACAACGAGCACATTCTTAGCATTTGTAAATATCTTTTATCCTCAACTTCCCATTATTTATATCCAACTTCCTATTGGCATTGCCATCAAACAATCCCTTGCGACTACATTCTCTCAGCAAGATATACGCACAATAAGTTATTGGCTCTCTAAAATTTTCAGCTAAAGTTGGTTCTTCAACATGGTACAACCTCTCAAACTCGAGTTTTAGAGCTTACACACGAGTTCAATAATTCAGTTGAGTTACTCCCTAGTCGCTACCCTCAGAAACAATCACTACTATAATTTAACCCTCTAACATATTATGCAATAATGGATTAATCATCAACCTAGCAATATCATCCATCATATCATTACAAAACACCCAATTTACTATAAATCAATGAACACTAAAAGAATTGCAAAACAAATGTAAGGAATAGGAGAGAGAAGAGAGAGAGGACCTTCCAATAAGACCATTAACCATGACAACAAGATGCTTAGGAGAGAGGTTAAACTCAACCATGGCAGAATCCACAATATCCTGCCCACCAGCAACAGATTCAGTCTCTGTCTTCTGCCCTAATTGTTGCAATTGCCTATCTTTCCTATTCCCAAAACACCCAATTCCCAATTTACTAAGAAATTCCATCATCAAAAAACTATCAGATTTTTTCTGTATACTACTACTGCTAATGCTTAAAAATTTGTGCTGAAAGAACCCTTTTTTCTGCTGAAATCTGCAAGAAATGGGTGTTAAAGCAGGAAATTGAACTGGGTTTTTGCTGTTTTTAAGCTTACAATCAGATCTCCATGAAATGGGATTTGAGGGTTTGATTAAAAGTGCAGAACTTGGATACAAGAATATCATGAGATACAGAAAATGGGAAAGTAAGAAGAAGGGTACATTAATTAAAAATAAATAAATTAAAGATAAAATTGAGGAATTCTGAAGAAGTGACAACTAGAAAGTAGTGGAAGAAGAGTGGAGTGTAGATGGTGGCACTGTAATGTGACTGCAACTGCAACTTTTTTTGTTCAAGTTTCTTTGCTTGAACGATATGTATGATGATTAGTTTGTGTGAATATCAAGGTTACCAAAGATCTTGTCATAAATATTAGGATTTGAGTAATTTTTGACCAATCCTATTTCTAACACTAACGAATTAGATTCTTCTGTTAATAGAAAGAATTTGATTCTTTGATGACTTTGAGTTGCATATGATCTACTTCATATAAAGTTGGTATTTTTTAGTTTTGTTCGTTTTAGTTAACAACAATACGAATAGAATAAAACGTGAATGATTTATCTATTAAGACTTGTAATAGAAGAATTGAAGGCAACGATCTAATAGTGGTAAATTTAGTTCAAGGAATTTGGTCTTATTGGAATTTGATCCAAAGCATCCTCGTTAGCATAAAGATACTTTTCCAAAAGTTCGAGCATTCAGAAATAAATCATTATAGAGAAACAAATAGAGCACTAGATTCGATAATAGACATATTATAATTTCTCAAAGTAGGGTGTGAACCGGGCTTTGCTCTCGGATATGCTTTAAATAATTCTTTTTTACGTTACGCTTAAAAAGACTTGTTAATTAAATTAGAATATGATGACAACAATAAATTATTTTGGATTATTTTTAATCTAACTCATGATTAATTTCTAGCTAAAATGGTAATATATATGGTTTTCATTCTATGAGGTTTGGTGTTCAAAATTCTTTATATCCATTTTTAGTTTAAGATCTCATGGATAAAAATTGTTGAAGATAGATGATGTGTTGTGATGCTAGTGTAAAAAGGAGTACACGTAGAACACATACATTTTTAGCATTTTTTTTTTTTTGAAGGATGGAATGCCTTTAATATATAAATACATAATGTTAGTAAAAATAAATAATAATAATAATAAATAATAATAATAATAATAATAATAATAAATAATAATAATAATAATGTTTAATTGTCTTGGAATTGTTAGGTTTTTTCCCTCTTTATTTTCGGAGTCGCTTTAATATATAAAGTAGGAAAAATTCATGGGAATAATCCCACCTTTCACCCGTTCGTTTTTATAATCCCACCTTTCAATTATTTTTCAATAATCCCACCTTTAGGTAACTTTTATTTTTATTGGTCCTTACAGGTTACCTCACCTGTTTTAGCCGGTTTTAGGCCTACGTGGAATCTAACGGTTACTTATTTTTTAATTTTTTTTTTGTTTGTTTAAAAGTGCCATGTCCCTTAGTTGATTTCTCTTCTTCTTCTTTCTCTGTCTCCTCTCTTCCTTAAAACACCATTGTTGGTCGCAAATTCCCCTATCAAATTCATCTCTTCTCAGTGAAATTTGGTTGCAATGGGTAGTTGTAGGCACGTTGGTTCAAGTGAATCATCTTCGTCAAGGTCGTTTGGTTGGGGTTTGCCAAAATTGAAGTGCAAATGCGGTGTTGAAGCCGTAATTCGGAGGGTGAGGAATGGCGATAATGTGGGTAAGAAGTTCTACGGATGCCCTAACTGGCCTGTAAGTGTGGTTGGAAGTGACAAATTTTTTGTTTTTGGAATTGAACTTGTAAGATTATTCAATTGGAAAAATCAAATTAGGGCTTTCAAATTAATTTGATTTTGGGATTTTTTTTTACAGGAGGGTGATTGTGGGTTCTTTCAGTGGGTTAATGCTAACAATATGGACCTTGAAGATCTACGATTCCAGGTTTTTGAAAAAGATACACAAGTTGCTGAAAAGGAGATTGAAATTGATTTCATGAAGGAGCAGTTGAAAAAAAATTGAGAAGAATTTGGATATTAAAGAGGATGAGTTGAATGATACAAAAATGGAGCTTTGCCACACTAGAATTGAACTAATGAAGGTGGCAAGGAATGAAAAAAACTTTTCCATTGCTCTGTTTGTGTCATGGATTTTCTTTGCTTTTCTGTTAGTGTATTTGAAGGCATGACAGTGATATTGAGTGGAGATGATAGTAGGTTAGACTCATTAAGCTTGTTTAGGTTTGGACATGATTGTATATTTTGCATTTGTGACATGTAATATGGCTTTGAAAAAACCTTTTTAGTAGCAAGGCATGTTACTGTAACAGTGAATTAATGGAAGGTATTATTACATTGATTTGCTTTCAACTTGAATTATGTTGGTGAAGTTGTTATGTTGAACAAATTAAGTTGGTGAAGTTGTTATGTTGAACAAAATAGCTTGCAAATGGTCTGGCCAACAAACACAAAATGAACACTGCCATGGTTCACTGCATTACACAAAATGAACACTGCCATGGTTCATTGCATTACATTGTAATATGCCCAAAAACAATAAAAACTGTTGTTAAAAGATTACATAAATAAAGTACCAACACTTAATTACTTAATTACACCAAAATGAGTTATTGTTCATGCCACTACTTAGATGACTACTGAGTTGGTTGATGCAAGGTCGAACGTTGACTCTAGTTGCAAGTAATTACACCATAGCTGTTCTTGATGATCTTGTTCTCCTGTCATTGCCTTGGGTCTGCAAACAGATACAGTAGCATATTAGCATTAGTAAGACATTAGTTGCAAGCAAAATGAGACACACTAATAGTGCCAACATAAAGGCACTCACATTAGTGATTGCAGATCCATCTGATGCAATGAAGACACCTACACCTGCTGGGACCTGGTTCCTTCCTCTGCCCCTAGTTCCACCCCTGGCCCTTCCTACTCCCCTGTTCCCACTTGAAGCACCTCTGCTAGAGCCAGCAACATGTGAACCCCTTCCTCTTCCTGTCCCAACATTGGCAGCAACACCTCCTCTACCCCTTCCACCCCTTGATCCCCTACCCATCAAAATTGTTCTTTCCCCCTCTACCAAGTATGGTAGGTTGAGCAGTTAGGGAGTGGTGGGTTGTATCAGCCTGAGTGGATTGCACAGATGCAGCTGTAGGTTGAGGTGTAGCTGTTGTTGCAGTTTGTGATGTTGCTGTGTGTTTAGCATCCTTGCGAGGCCTCCCTCTTCCCCTCTTTGGAGCAGGATCAGCTGGCTGCACATTGTCCTTGTTAGGGCACTTCCTTTTGTTATGCCCTTTCAGTTGGCAGACAGAACAAGTCATTTCAATCCCTGTTCTTGTCAAAGAACCGGATTTGTTGGGGTTCTCATGTGGATCTTTAATTCGATTTTTTCTTGGCCTCCCTGGACCAATTTTGATTGGTGGAGGATCGATAGGCATGGACACTACTGGCCAGTGCCTTTCACCTTGAATTGGTGGAATACAACCTATCAACATCCACAAAAAAAATGCATTAGTTGACAACTACAGTGGCAGACAAAAATGAATGCATTAATGGAATTGCTTTGTTACCTGCATACACTGACAAATAAGTGTCCCTGTGGTAGCATTGATCCTCATACATCTCTGGTTCCTTGCCCATGAAAAAAATAGAAGCCACTGCATGGAAACATGGGATGCCCAGCATGTCCCATTTCCTACAAGTACAACTTCTGCTTTCCAAGTCCACCACCAGCTGATCTAAGTAGTAGTTCACATTGAAAAGGGTTTCAGATGAAGGAGTAACTTCACACTCTGCAGCCTTTGCCTTCTCAACTTCCAACTTGGCTTGTATTCTTGGACATAGCAATGTGGTGACTTTCATCATACCTTGCCTTTTCACCACCAATCTCTGCATCAAAGTAGCTCTTATCTCTTTTAACATGTAGAGCAAATGTTTTGTCCTTGCTTGAATGATGTACCCATTGAATGTTTCTGCTATGTTTGAAGTAATTGCATCAGTCTTCACTCCTGGATTCAGAAAAGCTCTGCAGAATAATTCAGGCCTATGCAATTTGAAGTCATTGGCTGCATCCACATTTAACTCTGCAAGCTCCTGCAGTCCTTCATTGTAATCAGCCATATTGTATGCCTTAGCAATTCTCCAGAACAACAATTCAGCTCATCTCCTTTATACTTCTTGTGCCAGTGAGCAAATATGTGTCTAGCACAGTGTCTATGCTCTGCCTTAGGCAGAACGGTTGAGACACTATGCACTATACTCTGCCAAATTACAATACAATACAGAATTCAAATTAGCACAAAATAGGCAAAGAATTCAAATTAGAATACAAACAATATAGAATATACAATTAGCTCACAGTTGAGAAATAAGTTAGGAATCATACCTGATGCTCATCAGAAATGATAGAGACCCCTTCTCCTTCTTCCAGATTTAGACAAGCAGCAACTTTCATGAAGAACCACTCCCAGCTGGAGTTGTTTTCACCTTCAACAACAGCCCAACACACTGGGAACATCTGGTCATTACTGTCCCTGCCAACAGCAGCCAACAGTTGACCCCCCAAAAAGGTCTTGAGAAAACAGGCATCTACTGCCAACACCTTCCTACAACCTTGAATCCACCCATTTCTCAAAGCTTCAAAACAGATGAACAACCTCTGGAACATTAGTGGGAAAGCCTGCTTTTCAATGTCAGTGACAAGCTCCAATTCTGTTCCAAGACTGCATTCCTCTATTGCCTTCAAATACCCACCTAGCTTGTTATAGTGGTCATGCATTGACCCATGTAACAGTCTATGGGCATTGTACTTGACTCTATAGGCAAAGTATCTAGTCACCAACATCCTGTATGCCTTCCTCATACACTCAATAATGTCTTTTGCTGGCCAATGTGGCCTAGTTTTGAACACATCTAAATATTGCTTTGCAACAAAACTTGATTTGAGTTGCCTGTTCCTCTTCATATTTCTCTGACAACTGTGAAGTCCTTTCACTGTCTTCACAACTATTGTAGCCCTCCTACTATCCCAGGAAGCATACACATAGAATGGACAGCTTCCTCTGCATTTCACACCTAACCTCTGTGATCTCTGTTTGTTACTCACAACAATACTCACATCTCTGCCCTGCAACACAGCATACTTAGCTACAGCATCCTTGAAATCATCTCTGTTTGAAAATTTCTGCCCAACTTTCCACTCAAAACTTGAAAAATCTGTTTGTTTAGACACCAACAAACCTAGTCTTTTTCTCCTTCCAGGAATCAAATCTTCCTCACCACTATCAGGTGGGGTATGTATTTCATCATCACTCTCTTCATAATCACTCTGGGGGCCAGAAGGTTCACCACCTAAATCTTCCCCAACATCTGTCCTGTTTACAGCCTCCTCCTGTAGTTTAATTCCCTGAGCTGCTTCAATTTGTATTTTTCTTGCAATATCAACAAGCTGGGCAGTTGTATCCCTTACCCTTTGCCTAGCTATGTTGTACTCTTCATCCCCACTGTCAGACTGATATTGAAGCTCCTCATTCAAGATCTCTTCACTCTCCTTCTCATAATCATCCTCTACCTCCTCAGAAGCATAATCATCTTCAACTAAAATATCACCACCATCTTCCCCACTGTCATCTAAGTCTTCCCCACTGTCATCTGTACCCACTTCTCCAAAGAAAGGCTTGCTACTAACTCCTTTGCCTTTGTCAACCAGTGGGTTATAACTAGGGTCAACTGTGTCACTATCACTGCTATATTCTGGTATCAAATCATTAATGGGGATAGGGCTTTCAGGCCTTGCATCTTCCCACTCAAAAGTGTTTACAGGGTCATTTTCTGGAGCTTGGTGAGCTATTTCAGGTGTTGTACTAGGGTTTATAACATATTTTATTCTACATGTACTTTTGTTAGATGGGGAAATGGTTGGTGGAATGGTAATAAGTTCAGTGGGAGCATTTTCTGTTGGCTTTCGTGAGCTGTCAAGGGCTTTATGGGAAGTTTCAACAAGGGCTTTTTGGGAAGGTGGTCCCCTCTTTAGTGGAAGTTTTTTGGCTCTCACAGATTTGGGTTGGGTCTTCTGTTTTGAGGAGGCAGGTTGTAGTTCTTTGGGAAAGAGAATTGGGTCATTTTCACAGTGCATAGCATAAACCTCCACCCCCCTATGCTTCTCTGCTACCCTTATCATTTCCCTTATACTGTCATCATCTGTGACCCTCCTCAACCCATCCTCCATACTCAGTCCAGGAACTAAGTATAAAAACCCCTGAATTCTACCATCATATCTAGCACACTTCATAACCAACTCCACAAGATAAAAAGAGCATAGTTCATCAGGGTCTACATTAAAGGTTCTGTTTTGCCCATTCATATAACACAACAATCCATTAACACGCTGCTGAAACACCCCTCCATGCCACATTTTCAAGGTTATTTTACTACAACCCATACCTAAGTTCACAACAACTATAACACAATTAACATTCAACAAAAACCAACAGCATAGCACAACAAAAACCTAGCATTTAGGTTTCGAAATCAAATCACATAAACCGACAAAAAAATCACAACATAACACAAATAAACAACAATTCGCAACAGTAAGTATCAAATACATTGCAATCATATAGAAAAATCATCAATTTCGGGTTAAGGTTCGACATTTACTTCGAAATTTAGCAAATTTTCAGGCGGAAATCAGGGTTCGAAAAACTTACCTAAAATGGGGTTCTTCGCTATTCAATTTTTACCAACGATGGAAGCTTCACAATTAATGGCACCGTACTCAAGTTGTTGAAGCTTCAATTATGGCGGATGAGATTTTTTACAGAGCCTCTGTTCAAGTGAGTAATGAGGGAGGGAGGAACTCTACAGACATTAACGTGGGTAGTTGGACGGAGAGAGAGATGACTGATGAGTGACATTTATGTTACCCTTAGGGGTAGTGTATTGGTCTCTTTTCTCCTGTTTTTCTTAGGTTTTCTACCTCTTTTCTCCTCTTATGGCTTCCTTTTCTTTTATGGATGAAAAGTATGCTTATTTGCGCTTGTTTTGATAATCTTTATGCATAATTTTATCATCCCCATGCTCTCGTGATCTTTGCTATCTTTTGCAGGTTCCATGACGGTCCTAAGCACGGTAGGAGGCCCCTTGGCCAAGTATGGAGGCATGGACAAAGACAAGAGGAGCAAAAGGGAAGAAGAGGAAGCAAGAAGAGGAAGTTCAAGAGGAGGTGTGGCCGAACCTCTAAGAGGTTCGGTCGAACCAAGGTGTGGTCAAACTTTTGAAAAGTTCGACCGAACCTCCAAGGCAGTTTCAACCAAGTTTTCAGCATGTTTACAGG